TTCATCTACACAAAACTTGTGTTTGCAGTCATCTGGAACCCTGCCCAAGCAAAGCAGGCATGATTTAGCTTACTCACGACATGGCCCACTGCTTGCTTGGATTACAGCCTCAGTGAGGGACACCCACAAACTTCTGAAAGAAGGGATGACGTTGTTGCCTGCATACGAGAGCAGAAGCACAACAGGAGCTTTCTGCCCTGCTGGCACAACAGACAGATACTCACAGAAATAACAATCACCTGGAAACAAATTTAGTAACACATTCGTTAGAAAAACATCCATCTTTCAGCTATGGAAAGCCTTGTATCTAAACAGCACTAAAGAAACAAAGGAAACATAATAAGATAAGAAACAAATATTGACAGACAAAGAACAGAAGCTTAACTACCACAGATGGCTGGCCGTACAAAAGAAAATCCTGTTTATGTTCTCGTCTCCTAGCACTTGGCACCTGTAAACACCTAAAGGAGCCCGCCTGCCGTCACCATTACAACTGGAGCAAAGTTACCGCGCTTGGGAAAGATCCTTCTACAGCTGAACTGGCAAAATCAGGGAAGAAATAGTAACTTTCTTCTTCACCACGTTTGAAAAAAAAGCTTGCAATATTCACTGAAGTGGAAACTCTGAACCAATCCTAAAAAGCCAGAAATCAGATAAATATTTACTGTTACCCTGAGGTGGAGCTGCTGAGGTGGTAATTATACCTTTTTTTTGTGTTGGTATTTACTTGTTTGTTTTGTCAGATTGTGTAACACTCATCTGCTAATCAATTCCTGGAAAGTATGGCTGGTTTTATTATACAGTTTCTCCTCTTTAGGGTAAGAGGGCAGAAGACAAGGCAATATTTTTAACTTGTGTTTTTAGCAAAAAGGCTAGTTTGTGAAAACTAAAAATGCTCCCAGGCTGCAAGAGAGCTTTGTTCTCTGTGTCATCGAGCAAGTTTCTATGTCCTGCTACAAGTTTTGGTACATTTTTTAAGAAACTACTCCCCATTATTTTTGCAGTTTAAATGGAAAACAAATTGAAGGGTTAAATCAAAATATTAATTTCCTTTTTCATTCAGGACCGTCAGCTATATAGCACATAAACAGGAAGATTTTTCAACAGAACATGAATCCAGAAGAGAAGACAATTTTCCAAGAATATCTGACAAACCAGGGAACTGTGGTAAAGCCCTATTGCTGGCAGAGACAGAACCACATCTGTGCTAAGTGTCCCTACCACATACGGACCGGGGAAGAAGCAAGAGTCCCTTACACAGAATTTCACAGGGTCTTTGGCTTCCCATACAGATCAACAGTAACTCTCCAAAACAAACACCTTCTCTTCTATGAACTGAGGAGTTTCTCAGGCACGGTAGTCCAAAAAGGCCACGCTACAAACTGTACTGACCAAGACAACCATCCAGAATCTACGCTGTTTGAGGTGGGCGGTTATCTGGATGCAGTTACAGATGCCTATGAAGACATCGGATACATCATCCTCTATTCAAATTACTCTCCTTGTAACGAGGCTTACCACTGCTGCATAAGTAAAATCTACAACTTCTTGCTGAAGTATCCAGAAATCACGCTCTGCATCTATTTCTCTCAGCTTTATCACACTGAGGACGGTTTCCCCACTGCTGCGTGGAACCGTGAAGCTTTGCGGAGCCTCTCCAGCCTGTGGCCTCGGGTGACTCTGCAGAGACTGCCTGGGGGGACATGGCGTTACCTCCTCTGCAATTTTGTGTGTGGCTTCCCAGGGTCAACCCTTTATCACCCTGCTTCACCATCAAGCACCTTAGCAGATCAACAAAATCCACACCAAATTAACAACTTAACAAGAATGAAACCGTGTTTTAGGAAAGCCTTTCCCCAAGCAATGCAGGGAAAGCCTGCTGCACAGCAGAACTTAAAGGCCTTTTCTTCTCTTCTCCTAGACCGGCCTCCCAACAGCCTTTACAGGCAATGAAAGGCAGTCTGCTGCCTCTGATGTCTCAAAGCCTCTTGATACTTTTCCCAGGCATGTTTCTGCCCTTTCAGAGGGAACATCTACACCCCAGACCTAAAAATATTGTAAGACACTTAAAAATGCCAAAGGAATAATTCAATGAAACTCATAATTCTGAAACGTTTCCAAGTGGCAGACACCTACGCTGAAGATGATACGAATTGAATTGCTTTCAGGCTGTAAAACTGAGATCACAGATAGCAAAAAAAAACCCACCAGTAAAGTCACCTACTACAAAAGTTAACCCACAGAATAACTGTGGATCTCAAATAACTGATTATGAAGATAATATGCTTTTATTTTAGTCCTGTACCTTTCAAACGTAAACCTATAGCAGTAAAACCAAAACCTCTATATCTTCTGATTACCTCCTGCGATTAATTTCTTTGTTGCCCTTAAGCCAATTTCTACCAGAAAAATGTAAACAGTCTACAAGCTACAACCACAGCTACAGCCGGATTGTAGCTTCCCAGCTGAGGTAACTTTGGGGGAACACATGACATAGCCTAAATTCCTCCTCTGTCAAGAAGGTGGTTCTACAGGTAAGGCTGATATATGAACAAAGTTTTCCCACCAGCTGTTTCCTTAATAATGAGGGGGTTTATATACACATAGATGTGTGTGTGTGTGTGTATGTATTTTTTTTTTCTAGGGCTGCTGCCCTCCACTAAGAGGAACCTCAGAAGGCTGTGTAATTTTCTAATTAATAAGAAATATCTAATAGGATAATATAGATAACACAGATCTACAGAGTCCAAGCATAACTGGAAAAGGAAAAAAAATCCTATCATTTCAAGCAGTGTTTTCACTTTGTGATTCAATACGTTTGTTATTATACTAAAGGTTTTAAAGAATGGGGCAACTGAAGTCAAGAACATGTTTTTTCCCAGCAAACAGGGCTTCCTTCCCAGGTAACGTCAATTGTGAAAAAACACACTGGCTAACTCGGTAGAAGTCAGTGCTTCTGCTCCTTTTTTACTCTCTTTGTGGTCACAGCTATTACGTATCTGAGTAAAAAAAAAAAAAAAGAGGCTGCTACCCAGTGTGGCCTGAAATACCCTTCACTTCAGCAGAGGTGACCCTGCTTGGAAACTCAAATGTTTTTCTGAGTCTCTTGTGACTTAATAGAGGTGGAAGCGTGTTAGAATCCACCAGATCCCTTACTTTTACAACGCCTAGGAGCTTTTTTTAGAAAAGCTTTCTTGAATTAGATCATGCTCCTTCTGCGCTTCCCGATAAAATGTTAACTGACATGATCACAAGAAGCCACCTGTGCTGTAGCATTGGCGTGATTACTTTCTTTTGCCAAGAAACACAAAGCCAATGCTACTTTTTAACTCTTGCAGTGACAAAGTGGTGTTTGGGCTTGGGCTTCCGCTGTCACCAAGTTCCGAGCCAAGCCCCGGACGCCGCTCACGGGGCGCAGGTTACATTGGGCTGCGCTGCCTGACCCCCGCTTCCAGCCCCAACAGGCCTGTGAGAGGAAGGAGAGGCCCTGCCTTTCTCGTGCTCGTCCGAAAACAGGACCAAAGTCCGCTCTGCGCGCTCATCGTGGGCTGCCTCCGGTTCCGCGGGGCGGGCTGGCTGCCGCGGGCTGCCAGCGGACCGCGCACCCGCGCCTTGCCGGCGGCGAGAGGCGGGGGGCCCGCCGGGGAGCCGGGGCCGGGCGCCGGACACAG